TTCGCCTTACTGGTGTCACCTTTCTTTAAATTGTCTGATGCACTATTTAGTACATATATGGACTTCTGTTTGCCTCTTTGGGATTTATTTACTCCTTCCATGGTAGTAGCACTCTAACTTTTTCCCTTTTCTCTCCCAGTATTGAGAGAAAATTTTCTCCCAGTAGGTATAAATATGATGGCTTCTCAATAAAAATGCACTGCTCTCCTGGCTAAGAGGTAAACCCATGATTCCAGTTAACTAATCAGATGCTATTTCACTAGACCATAGACATCTAAGAACTAAAAATAATTAGATTTCTTTCATACCTTTAGAGGCAGCACACTGTTAACTCAATCACTAGCACTTCCTTGGTTCTTTGCATTTTGCTCTAATTCTCCTGAACCTCCTGTATCCTTCCTACAAATTCTTCTTGTATAAGCCAGAATCATTTTCTGATCTACCAAAGCCTTGTTTTGTTTTTCAAATGTCCCCATATATTCAAATTCTTCTTCTAAGTTTCTCAAAAACTCCAATCTTCTGATGTCACTAGCTTAAATTTTTCTACTAGCTTGTTTTTAAGTTTTGTGCCTTGTTGATAAAGCAAATAATAATGGTAATCCTATAGTCAGTTGAACTCATGTATACATTTGTGTTGGTGTGTAAATATGCATATAACTATGCATGTATATTTTACATATAAATATGTATGATATACTTATATGTCTGTCTCATCTGTTTTCTTCATTTTCAATACTCCATCAATATTTATGTATCACTAGCTACAAAAAAAAGATTTTCATTAAATATGGGTTGACTTTCATAAAGCATATAAATTTATAACAATATAACATATTTTGATATACTTTCATAAAGTATATTATCATATTTTAATAATTTTTTCAGACTATCATTTATTCCTGATAGAATCTTGAAGGCATAAAACTACATAACATTTATTTCCTTGATCAACTCTGTCATTCCTTTTTTGGTATTTTTTATTTCTGTGACTCTAGGTAAATTCTCTACCTTTTAGTAAAATGGTGATAGCTATGATTCCCTGCCTTATAGATAGAACAGGCACAAAAAATGGATAAAGCTCTCTGCAAGCATTGTAAGAAGCCATTACTATAATGGAGGTTCAGGTAAACTGTTTTCTGCTGTAAGGTCTGATGAAACCAAGCCTCTTGGTTGTGGGGTGCTGAAGGAACCCTGAGATAACCCTATGGCTCATGTGATTTTTCAAAGCCTCAAAATCTAGGGCACAAAGAGATAAGATGCAGCATGATGAACCTATCCATCCGCAACCACTGTAACATCCCCTCAGCCACCCCTCACCCCCGGCCAGGGAGCTGACCCACATGGCACAGCAGACCTCGCCTGTCTCACTTCCTGCTCCCCTCAGGCCCTCAGCAGTGTATTTTAGTAATATGCCTGTTCTGCTCCCTACTTTGTCTCTGGTGAATCCTCTCACTCTACCTCCCACACTTCTGGCCTGTACCCCAGTTCTTATATGCATAAATAATTTTTTAATTCAAAATTTACACCTCAATCAATATATTGGATAACTATCTTCCTAGAAATTGTCTTTTTACATGCACTTAAAATATTCTATAAAAAAAACTAACATCTAGAATTTTATAATTAATGTGGCTCCTTTTATTTCAAAGACATGCTTCACCATGTGGGCCATAAAATGTGATAAAATTTTATAATTCCCAAGTAAGACTATTATGTTTTTACATCTAAGTACACTGTAGCTCTGTCACTGTTTTTAAGCCACTTAATGCATTATAGAAAAAGAGAAAAAGGAGAAACAATAAAGAGACTATTTATCCATGAAATTGTTTATGCATAGTATTTAATGCATTTTTATTTTTCAATTGCGCTTTTTACCAACTCCCAACAAAAATAAATAAAAATTAACAATATCTTATAAAGTTTCTAAATTTTCCTTCAATATCTTAAGGTACACAATTATCAAAGCTGATACTGAACACAAACAAATTGATACAATTCAGTACTCTGATAAAATTCATTGTCAAATAAGTTATTTTAAACTGCTTGCAAGACAACTTTATGTTCTATAGCATCTTCAATATAAACTGTATACCAAAATGGCTCCTGAAACTTAAAAAAGTGCAATTACAGAGTGCAAAAAAAAGCAAAGAGGAAAAAATATACTTACACTTAATATCACATGTTTTAGATAAAATTATTCTTTAGTTAAAACATTAAAATATACTCCAGAACACTGTTTATACAAATTGTTAATCCTCTTTTTATCATATGAATATGAGTAGGAAAAAAAAGCGAAAAGGAAATATTGGGCAGCAAATTAAAAATTTTTTTCAAAAAAAATCTATATAATGGATACTACAGCAAAAATGACAAGGTAGATCAGATATGAGTTTTTAAAAAGCTACATTGTTAAAGTCAGCAGAAATTCGAAACTAGTATCATGCTTTATGCTTTTGCTGTGTAAAAATTGATTTGATACTAACAGCAGTTGAATTTTGTTGATTTCTCATACAGGCTTAAAAGTGAAAATCTGAGTTAAGACATCATAGCTCTGGGCCATTATTCCATTGCTTGACTCTGGGCAACAGGATGAGAACAAAATGAATGTCCAAGAGAACAGTAAACTCACATTATACATATTGAGCATATTATATCCATGTCAACTTTACTGTTAAATCTTTAGTACTATCATACACTTATGCCCTAACCCTTAGAGTGTGTCAAATGAGTTACTATGTCACCTTGGTAGGAACCACAAATTATGCGTTTATACACTGAACTTATATTTATCTCAGTATGTTGGCTGTACGTAGCCTCTACTATAAATGCATGTGTTTTTATCTCTAAAATGAAGAAATGTGAGCCAAAATATTTCCTCTACTTATGGGAAACATGAACTGATAATCACCTGATTTTTTAATGTTTGCTCTGCATTATCATCATTAAAATATTTTGATACATTTTCAACCATAAAAGGCAAATTGAGTAGTACTTTAATCTTTACTATGTATTTATATATAAATATTTGACTTTTTCAGGGGTTAAATTTTTAAGCACACTTAAAGAAAGATTAACCATGCCCCAAACTGCTTACAATTATGTAACATGAACTGAGATGCTTAACAAATCAATAAGTCTTTTTCTCTCTTTTGTAAATAAAATAGATTCCAGCAGATTACTTTCCTAGTTAATAATTCCTTGAACTAATCCAGATCACTTAAATTAGGCATAGTTCCTATCCATAGTAGGTGTCACTATGTATGTATAAGATTTAAAATATGTTCTTACATAGAACATTTGTTGTCAATTATATTACTGGAAAACAGAAACAGTCTTTTAGATGTCACTAGCTTAATTTTTTCCTCTAGCTGGTTTTTAAGTTTTTGGACTTGTTGATAAAGCAACTAATGATAGTAAAACTAACCAGTAAGCTCATGTACACATTTGTGTTGGCAGGTAAATTCTGCATATACCCTGTGTATGTATTTTACATATGCATACATATGATGTACTTCTATGTCAAATGATAAAGAACCAGATCCAGGGTTTTGGCTCATAGCCATAAGTACGGACCGGTATCTAATAAGAGAGAAACACAGAGAGGCATGTCATGGCATCTTACACTTTGAAGCTCAGTCACTGCTTACTTTCACTTTGTTGCCCTGGAACATGCCAGGAGCAAAGGTGAAGATGAACAAGGTCTATCTGACCAGGTGTGTGGTCCTGAGAGACTCTAGCACAGGTCTAGCATAATGAGAGAGCTTTCCGTGAAACTGGACATAGTGACAGCTGGCTGGCTGACTGCCCCAATCCCCTTAACTCACTGACATCATGCTTCTTCTAGGCATAGGAGAAACCTTAGTCTCTTCCAAGATAGCAACAAAAGACAGAAAACAGAGCCCCAATTTCACCTTAGTCTCTACAGGAAAGCCAGGTTAAACCTCTACATTTTAGTTTTTGAATGAATAAATACATTATGATTTATTTTCTAAAATTTCCCAAGCATATAATTTCAAATCTTAGAAGAAACTGCTATCTTGTTAAGTTAAAAACTCTCTTGTAAAGAAAATGGAAACACTTTAGACCACGCTTAGATGATATATACTTTCAAATAATGACTTGCCACCAAATTTTGGACTATGACTTAACCTTAGAATCATTGAACAAAATCCCTATGAAAATACTTTTCAAAAGAAGCACAAATTTTGACTTCAAGTGTGGATTTTTTTTTTATTGTCTCATCAGTAACAGTGACCTCACACACATGTACTACCAAAAAAAAAACAAAAAACAAACAAAAAAAACAATGTGAGGCTATAAAATGCCTATTATTTACATAAAAGTTGGCATAGTAAAGTCTCAATTCATTTAACTTGAGGAGAATGTGTTAGACATGTGGGTTGGGGAGAAGGCGCTGAAGAGAGAGGTGCAGGAAGAATAACCCTGGGTTTTCGTTACCTCAAATATGTGACAGTTAGCAGATGGCCCATATTTTCTTCTACTCAAAACCCATTACAGTAGTATTTTAATACATGACACATTGATTTCTAACTTGCACATCAAAGTATCATACAGTCAAGCCAATTTTCATTGGTTTGAGAAGTAGAAAAATATAATTTATAAACTGATTTGACCATATACACAGGTTTACAGACATCTGTTATTTGTTGGCACTTCCTGAGCCATTAATTGGGTATTGTTCACTCCAAAGCAAAGTGTAGCAGGGAAATAAGTTTTGAAGCTTTCAATAAAGCCTTTACCCCAGGAAATGGTTTCTTACAAAAATAAGAATTTTTTTGCTATATTAAATATTTTGTGTACATTATACATTAGCAAATAGTCTGTCAAAAATAAAACAAAAATAAAAACTTTTCCAAGTATATTAAAAATATACCACTGTTGACTTAACACATGACCCAACATAAATATTATTAATAAAATAGGAATACAAGCATAGCCAGGCTTGCCATGTGTCCCTGTCTATAGCTTGATGGCACCTTTCAGACTTGTGACAACACTGGATCCCCTGAAGTCACTCTTTCATATTCTTTTGTTGATTCTTTACTCTTTCGATATCTGTACCTAGAAATATTCAGAAATGGGAAGGCATTGTAATTAACAAAATAAGAACAGAATATATCAGCAAAAGAACAAATACATAGACTCAAAGGATACATCATTTTGTTTCCAAAATGACAACAAGAAATAGGTTAATGTTTGCCATAAGAAATAAAGGGCACTGAATTAGGGATCATATTCTGGGGTCAAACAATTTTGGGAGGAAATGGTGAAACTCAAAGAACTTCTCAGAGGTTTAAAACTAATTGTGAAAGTTGTAAAATTGCAGGAAGACTTCGCGCTGAAGCCTGGATATTTTTTCTCTTTCTTTGTCTCTTTCCCTTTTCATCTCTTTTTCTAGAACTGAAGATCAGTCTTTTGACATAGGCTACATTATTATCTTCTACATAATATATTGATATAACACTAGTACTGATGAACATTCAAATGACTAATATTTATCCAGTACTAGTTAAGTGGCTGATGATATTCTAAGTGCTAGACAGTCATCATTTATTTTATCCTCATATTTATTACCACCATCATCCTTATTTTATGGATGAAGTGAGTGAAATATAATCAAGTTATATAACCTGGCCAAATTCTCCTAGCTAGGATCCATACAACTTTCATGATTCATAATCTTCATTCGCTCATTCAAGCTATCTTCCTAGCACTTTTAGTTTATTTTCTACCCATTTTTAAGATGCAGCATTAAGCCATGAAGAAACTGCATAATGTCTAAGCTTAAGAATGCGATTAGAAAGGCTTTATTTAGACTTGTTTAGACCACCACTTGTCTACATTTAAAGTGGGGAATGTCAGTTCGCCTCTCTACATCTCATTTTTCACATCTTTAAAAGGAAAATGATTGTTTTCAAAGAATTGTCACATGTATTTCAGTTTTAATGACATTCAGTTCTATAATCCTAACTGGTTAAAAATGCATAAATTATTTGATCAATACTTAGAATCAAACATGAACAAGATACATTTAATCTTCCAAATGTACATTCAGACCTTCAAGTTTCAAAAATCTTATTTCAGCAAAAAATGAACTGAAATTCACTCAAATTTATACTGAAAAATTTTGTGCAGCTCCAAAATAATGAATTCACAGACATATATTAAAGGCAGTTGATGTAACTAATTTACATTGTTCTTATACCTTAAGAAACTCCCAATCTGATATAGTATAAAAAGATAGTTCCCACTCTGTTTTTGTAAGCTATCAGCATAAGGACATAAGGACAGAACATAACTGTTAGAAGAATGGCAAAAACCATTTTTTAAGTAAACTTTCATAATTGTTTGGAAATGCATTTCCACTATTTTCTGAAAATTTAAGATCCTATATCTTCAGAGCTATTGATTTACAAAGGATGTTTTGTGAAATATAAAACTTGGCCTAGTAAATTGCATGCAAGTGGCTAAGTATGACATCAGAGTCACATGGCTCATGTTTATCTGTATTACCAGACTTAAAAATGAAAGCAGGACCATCATAAATGTAAGATAAGGATTTCATTTATATTTTATAAGGGAAGGAATTAGTATTTCACATTTGACCTACATTAGGTCATTGGTAATAGGTGAGAGATAAATAAAGTCAATCCCTGATGTTCTGTGACTAATACTTCTGAATTTATATAAGTGCTGAATCTATTTTCTTCTTCTAAATAGACCTTGTCCATATTTTTACCAGTTTTGTAAGTCTGTATTGTATGTAAGTCATTTATAAAAGCAGAATTAAAAAAAGAGCAAACACTGACTTACCATCTGCAGAAATAGTACATGGAGCCAGCAATTATGATAATGAACAACATAACAAGAATCACGGTCAAAGCCACATATTCTTTGCTTAGGGGTTGCTGGACAGTTAAAAGGAAGTGCTCGCATCGGGCACCAGTGTAACCCACATCACACCTAATGGAAAATGCAAGGGAAAGTTTCATTATTTAAAAAGAATTATGATTACAATAGTTTAAAGAAATTAATCTTGCTAGGAACTAAACTGCAATGCAAGAACCAATACGGCTTTCCAGAAAATGTAAGTATGATTAAAATATGACCTTACAGGAACATTGATAAAAGATCTCCATATATTTCTCAAGCTACATGACAGCCAGGGAGACTGACCATCTACGTGATGTTTTATAAGTTTTGTAAGTATCAGTTGCTTTCTGTCCAAATCAATGGAATCAAATCCTAATACAGTGGCTGATCTGGAAGTCTAGTGAAAAAACTAAAAGCTGAGCTGCTCTTAATTGCATATATGAGAGGCATCTGAAGCCCTCCCCTAATAGATTCCCTAGTGTGGCTGATCAATTTCAGACCTACCCATGTTCCCAAATTTCAAAAAAATCTACTTAAGAAAGTATCTAGTCAGATATCCAAACTCATAGGAGGTATAAATTGCACTCTATGGAAATATGAAGTTATTAAAAAAAATTAAAAGTATGAAGAGAAGCAAAAAGTTTAAAAAAAAGCTGGGCTTGTCTGTCTGGACTCCTCCTACCTGCAGGAATTCTCACTCATGTCCACAAGGTAGATGCACTGCCCGTGCAAACAATAGCCGTTCATGTCAGAGCCACACATCACGATGGATACTTGGGCCACACGTGGATTTTCTTCTGTCTTAACTGTGAAGGAAATGGAAAACTGAATATATCCTGTTGCCTTCTTGGAAGAATTACTTACTTTTCATACTAGTAATCACGGAGCGACTGTAAGATAGCAAGACAGGAGCCAATCAGTTGAGGCGAATTTTCAGAACTAGGAAATCACATCAGATATTACATCACCTGGATCAATAAATACCCAATGGGAAATGTCCAACAGATGACAGGAAACAAAATAGAACCTAGGAATCTAATTTTCAAAGACAACCTTTAAAGATAGAAAAAAGTAAGCTGAAGGTACACAAAATGCTGACCTTACACACTTATCCATTCATCAAAGTTTAATTTTCAAAAAAAAATATGGAATTTATTTCTCCAATAGCAAATGTAAAGTGAAGGTATCAATTGATTCAAGAGAGTGTAATTCTATCAGGAAGCCTTTTTTGAGGTCGCCATTAGAAGTATCAAAAAAAAGCCACCCACCAGGTCTGAGACCTGAACATGACTTAGTCAAACCTTGACTTAGAAATAACACTGTGAAGCAAATGCAGCTATGAAAATCTAGATCTCACCAGAAATAGTGTTGCACTCTACATGGAATGACTTTAGAATGTTTTCATTATGGAAACAATTAAACAAGAGTATGAGGATTGTGACAAAATATAGGAAGAGGGGAATACTCTAGAAAGCTCAGAGATAAAGGGCAAGAGAGAAGATGAGCTGCTCAGACACCCAGGTTGCTCAGCTAGTGTCTGACTCGATAGCTCTGACTAGCAAGCACACACCTCTTGGAACACATCCAGATTCCCTTGGGGAAAAGACTGGTTATCGCTAATTTGGAGGGGAAAAGACTGGGCATCGCTAATTTGGAGTCCTATGCCTAAGTACATTTTGGTGTATAAATTAAGTACTCCATAAATATGTTCTGAATGAAAACGTATCTAGAAAGGACAACATTTGCTC